CAGATCTCTGAGAAACACCTTATAGTTTCTATTTTTTAATTAAATATAAATACACATATATATATATAGAAAGAGAGAGAGAAATTACCATTTATCACTGTTCTCTATTTTTATTAGTGTCAGGATGATTATCTGTCTGCATTTTTACCTTTCACTAACTACACAGGAATCTATCTTTTGTTAACCACTGGTTTAACATCTAGTGCGAAGTCATCAATATGCTGGTAAGGTAGGAAAACCTCTTTCAAAAATTATTCCGAGTCTCTTTTTTTATTATTATAAATGCCACTTTTAAGATGCTTTTCTAAATAATTTCTAATACCTCGCTAATATTTTTTCATTTGTAATACTTCCCAAAGTAGTCTGGTCACTTTTTAGAAAAGTGGTCAACATCAAGCATTTTGGAGTAACTTTTCGCAAACAGTTGATTTTTGGTCAATTTGAGGGTGCTAAATCAAAAAATTATTTTTGCCCACCTGGTAAATGGTTCATTCACCCTCAAAATTGAAAAACATAATGGCCACCCATAAATCCAAAAAAATCATTGATCATTACCTTGTACACCAAAAAAGTGAAGGGAAATTTGTGTATCAAGCATTTAATCACAATGTTTTTCTTTGTTACAGACTTAAATGGTTCTTTAACATAAACAAGAAGGAATCCTCACTAGCCGCAGCACTTGAAATTCATTTAGGCAGGATTAGAGTAAATTAATCTATGAGACCTTTGTTTCCCTTTTATTACCTATATTTTTGTGCACCACTAATACCATGCATGGGGTGCACTTATACCTGATTTGATTTTATTTACTCATCAAGCTTACCCTCAAACTGAAATTATATTAGGCAGGATTAGAATAAATACATTAAACAAATGGTTTAACTTCCTGTGTCCAAAACTATAATTAAATCTCAAATCAGCCAAGAGATGAGAGAGCTATGAACAAAAAGTTAGAAAAAAGCTTGAAAAAAAAGCTTGAGCCATTCTATGAGTCATGATGCCGCAGCTAAAAAGGTATTAATACTACCATGACAATAAAAATTTGACTTTTTTACTGAGCTGAAACAGTTGACTTGAGTATTGGCATAAGTAGGTGAAAAAAGCTTACCTTACCTAAAAAAAAATTAAAATTTATATTACTGTTTCAGATATTGTAGTTAAATAGACTTCAGTAGATGGGAACGAACGAACGGCTACATCAGTAAACATAAAGGAAGTATTAATCTGTATCTTTTCCCTCCAATTTCCAAAAGTTTTGTGTACAATAGAAAGTCTTTCTGTGATAGTGCTATGCTGTAATGGAGCCTATAACATCTTGCAACAGTGGTGAAATTGACAATAATTTTTGTGTCATTTGTCAAGAAGTCAAGAATGATACACTATTTAGTAGTTCTGAACAAGGCCTAGAAAAGCTGAAAAAATGTGCCATGAAGGGCTCCAAGTATAAAGACAACAAGCACAGAGGTGAGGTTGAAATTGTCTTGAATGCATTTGCTACTGATAGGCCTACAGAGGATTCTATATATTGGCATAAAAGCTGCTATTTCTGGTTCACCCACAAAGGAAAAATTGCATGCTTGGAAGTAGATCATCTCACACAGCAGCATGTGTCTAGAAAAGGACTTCAAACTTGTCTTCAATCAGAATCAAGTACAAGTCATGAGTCACCAAGAACTTTGCAAAGTTCTTTGAAACCTTTTGACTGGTCTTTATGTATATTTTGTCAGAACACTAAAACAGAGTCCGTGCATATGGTTGCAAGCTTTTCAATGAGCGAAAAAATCATGTTTGATACAAAATGTCACCATAAACTTGGTTTAACTCCCCCTAATTGTTTTGACCTTATAGTTACAGAGGCAAAGTATCACCTAACATGTTTGAGTTTCAACTGGTTAGTTTCAAGAGTTCAAAGCAATGTTAAAAAAGTGATATACCAATGACTTGGTTATGTGAAGAACTTGAAGGCTTTGCTAAGGAAGGAGCTGTGCATGACATGAGTGATGTCTGGGACAGGTATGTCTATCTCTCCAATGAAGCACAGCATCAGGTTTCTGCAGCATGGTGCTCAACATTCATTGAGAGACTTAAGAAGCTTGTTGTTAAGCTGTGCAAGTTTCATACACTCGAAAGAACAACAGAAGCAATGAAATACACCATAATGATTTCAAAAGCATTTTCACATATAGCTGTAGCTACACTTTTGCAAAAGAGTTCAGATGAAAATCATCTCACCATACCTTTCTTGCTATGGTTCATGTTGCCCTTAAGCTAAGGGCTGACATATTGTACCATCCAAAAGCAAAGAATATCAATATTTCTGATCTAGGAATGTATGAGTGCATTCCAGGTAGTTTACTGACCTTTCTAAGTGTGTTATATGGTGGCCAAGATACAATCAGTGATGGCTTAGAAATGGAAAATGTGGGTGGACTTGACAAGCCACTTGATCAAACGTCAAAAAATTCTTTAACCTTGTGTTAAGTGTTGCCCAAGATATGGTGTATGGCATCAGTGGAGGAAGTAAATGGATGCTTAAGTATATTGGTCTCGGTTGCTATCTTTATCAGGCCATTAGGTGCAAGAAACTTATCTGTTTCATAAAGCAGGTGTTCATGTCACTCAATTCACAGCTTGGCAACGTGATCCTGAATCCCAAGAAGATATTTCAGAAAACATTGTTCCTTCTTCTAGACAAATGCTGCAAGTACCCAAAGAAATGAACAATTTCATTCCACTATCAGATTATATTGCCAAGACTACACAAAAGTGTGATGCTCCTGTTGACATGGATTGCTTTGAAAACTGTACTGGTAATGGCAACACAAGTGATACACCAACAGATACAAAAGAGTTGGCTTTAGTTTTCAAAAGGAACAAGGCAGCAATCAAACTTAGATGGACAAATTTTCAGCAACAGCTGTGCCACACTGTGTTTTAACAATCTATCATTGGATACATGCCCATAGTTCTTGCTCCAGCTCATGAACTGAAAACTTTAAATACTGTCATACAAAGATGTTTTGTAGCTGCTAGTCTTGGACAGAGCTATGTAGTACTAACTGCAGATGAAGCCCTTAATTGCAAGTTGATGCATTTGAAATGGTCAAATACAGACTGCCAAAAGTTTTTGGTCCCTTGCCTTGGAGGTTTTCATATAGCAATGAATTTCATCAAAGTCATAGGCAAATATATCCAGTCAACTGTTATTTTGGAAGCTTGGGTTGAACACATGCCTATTGGCACAAAGAACAGCTGAACTTGTAATCTGTGGAAAAAATTATTCAAAAATGATGTGCACACACAATCTGACCTACCAAGCCATGTGGGAAATTCTTCTACCACAAGTTCTTCAGTACCAAGCAGAAAAAAAAATGTTGACCTGAAAGACAGCATTGACTTGGCCACTGACCAGGGTACAGATGATGATCTAATAAACATACTTGACCCTGAAAGATTTTTGGATCTTATGAAGGAGTTCAAATCTGAGAGGTGTGTTTGTCTTAATTTCTTGTTTTGGTGGAATTACTTAGAAATGGTCAAAGTTCTGCTTTTTACCAGGGTTCAAAGGGAGGCTGTTTGGAGGTTGCATCTGATTTCCTGCTATACTTTTTTCAATACAAGTGTAGTAACTATTCATGCTGGGGTACTTTATATTTGTCAGAGATGCACCAGCTTCCTCCCAAGGTTGAAGAAGAATTCCAACAAGGTAACTTTGTGATTAAAGGTAGCCAGAAGTTATTCAAACAAGTAGATCCTTTCCATGCTTAGGAGTGATTGAACAAAGTTAGAAAAGTCGGAGGAGGCATTGTTGGAATTACCAGATCACATTCTGCTTTTTCAAGGTGGGCCCTTTCTTACAATCTTCAATCCATAATTGCAAAGGATACACAAAGTCTTTATGGACTTACCCTAGATGATTCAATGGAAATCAAATAATTCAGTAAAAGTCACATGGACTTGGATGCACAGTGTGAAAAAACCTCAAACAAGTATTGCAAAGGTTCCCACTTTTCAGAGCTGATTCAAACTTCACAGTTTTGTTCAACATTGCAAACAAAGATCAAGTATCTCCAGATGTAACATCAGCATTGCTGAATGTGAAGGAAAGTGGACAAGCTCAAGTTTTATCCTTTCTACAGTAAATGTTGATCCTGCACACTGTGCCCTGGAATAATCCTTTGTTCAAAATCAAATACCTTACATTTGGTAGCATGTATGAAGTGAAAGCCTCGGGCATGGAAAGGACAAAACCAAGAGAATTAAAGCTGACTGGACTTTTTTACAGTGACTTGTTGTTGCGTATGAAGCTGGGCGACCTGTTGACCTGAATGAAATTGTGAAACATGAACTGTTGCCAGTCCCTCTTTCTTCAGCTGCATTGGATAGTTCTATGAGATCAGGATCAAAGTCACTTCTAGCTGATGAGCTGATGGCAAAGATCAGTTGCCCTAAGAACCTGCCTCCATATGAAGATGCAACATTGATCATTGATGGTATGTCTGTAGTCCATATCCTTGGAAAATCTCAAAAGGCAAAAGCTTTTGGAGATTTTGCTAGTGTTTTCTGTGCACAGGTTTTTAAGGCAGGATAAAAGTTCAAGCGACTTGACATTGTCTTTGACCATTATCAAATTTTGTCTGTAGAGTCCGCCACTTGATGCAGGAGCAACAAAACCAAGCAACCCATCAATTTATACTTGTAATTATCATTTTTGAACTCGGCATTCACAAATTGACCCGAACTGCATACTACTAAAAATTTTACTCTACGTACTAAAAGACATATAACCAAACCCCAGGGGTAAATGGTGTCTATTTTATTTTTCAATTTTGAAGGTGAAGGAGCCATTTGCCAGGTGGAAACCAAAATTAATTGTTTGCCATAAATTACTCCAAAATGCTTGATCCATCTTTTCTAGCATCTTGTTTTGGAAAAGTGAACCAGTCTAAAGTATTGAAGTCTTGGATAGCAGGAAGAAAGTCACAATCTCTTAAAGTATGTCAAATAATAGTTGACTGATTTTATGGAATATTTTGTGCATTTTGTTAAATCCTTGAACTCAAACAGTATATTATACAGTTTTTTTAGCCATGATTACCTTGGACACACAACTTTATAGATGATGTAAGAGTGCTACATTTCTGAAACACTGTCTTTAAGTTTAAAGTAATTACTTAAACAAAATATCTGTTTAAAAACAATTGAGAATAGCTCTTACAATTTAAAACAGTTTTAATATTTTTCTTTAATTCTAAATCAAATAACCAATAATGGTCTTAAAGAATATGTGCCAAATACTCCATATAATCAGTCAGTTATTCTTTGACATGTTTCACAAGATGGCAACTTTTTTAAACTGCCCAAGATATCAGTAGTCTGGGAAGAGCTAAAAATGAAAAATTGCCAAAAACCAAAGAAACATTGTAGATTCAGTAGAAATCAAACAAATATGTTTTTAGTTTTCTGGGTCTGTGAATGACCCTTTTTTTTAAATCTAAAATTAAGGTTAATGTTATTAGTCATGTAGTTTTCTGTAATTTCTCTAGTGTCCAGCCACTTTTTTAAAGATAAGAATGTAAGACAAAGTGATACACCTCTTTCACAAAACACTGTACGTACACATAAAGGTAGTAAGAAAGCTAAAGTAATTTAATACGTTGAACTTCATATGAAAGAATAATGTTTAAAGAGCACATCCAAATCTTTGATTATATTTATATAAACTATGAATATCAGGACAAAGCAATTTATTATATTTAATTTTATGTGAAAGAAACATCTCTAAACAAGCACTTATGATTATTACAGTTATATAAACTATGAACATCAGACCAAAAGAAATGCAACAGAAAGGACAACACAAAAATTAACATCAAGTTCGTATTATGGTGTGGGGATTATAACATTTATCTTTGATTTTGAGATATCTAAAGAAGTGGGATTAACACATACAAAGCTGCAGAGATTCACCATCATCCAGATTTAACCTCTGTTTGCATGCCTCACCTGTTGCATTGTTGACTTGGTATATGTATTTAGGACTAACCTAAGCTGATCGAACCTCATGAGATATTATTGGGATTATGGCTGAAAATGTCAAGGGTACCCAAATGATGAAACAGTACATTTTAATCTTTATAAATAAGAATGTAAAAAAACTATATTTAATTAGCTATAGCTATTATTGATACTAGGTTGAATTTTAGTTTTATTCTAAGCAGATACGGTAGCTTTCTGTCATCCGAAGCTAATATTAACTATTACAGAAAATATACTAGTTATCCTCAGAATTCATTATACACAAACACTGAACCAAACATGCACACAGATGGTTTAATTTGTTATCCATTCAGCTGAGGTGGTTCTCACTAGTGGGATTACTTTGTTCCAGTGTCATAATACAATATGTTTAGAACCTCTCACTATTTCAGGAGCATAGAGACCAATGCTCTAAGTGTACTGTCTAAGTTAATGAGAATCAAGCTCGCCCCTGAAACATTGAGGAAAGTTTTAAGAAACATTCAACTTACTGAAGCTGTTAGTATTTGGTCTTTGATTGTCATTTTAAGAAATGCTAAAAATACTGAAAATTAATTTTTCCTCATTAAAAAAATTGATGACAGAAAATGTTAAGAGTTAAATTTAACTATTTATTTTCTAGATTATAAAAAATTTTGATATGCTTAAAGCAACAAATAGAACTAACAGTTTGCACTTAACGTTAGTAATTTATTTGATGTAATTTGTAACTTACATTTCTTGTATTAATATGTTTTTGCAGTGCAAATACATCTGTACTAACTGAAAAGTCCCAGAAGAGAGTAGACTACTTACAGTGGTCAGACTATTTTATGGCCATTGCTTTTCTCTCTGCCATGCGTAGTAAAGACCCAAATTCTCAGGTAAGTTTCATAACTATTGTGATAGTAAAATACAATAACACAATTTTTTGTTTTTTGGAATTATGTAACAACTACAGTTAAACTATACTAATACTTCATCCAGGTTCTGTGTATGTATGTATATACACATACATAAAAACAGTCGGAGTTGTTGCATGTCACATTCTCTAGATACACATTATTTATTAAGCTATTGGAATTGAAACAACAAAAAATGTATATAGTTGAAAATTTCTGAATGACTCTCTCTATTCAGTTTACAAAAATTAGAAGGATATTGAACATATATAGCAGTTAGTAACTTGAAAAGTGCATATATTCCATGAAAATATCTAATAAGCGTACTTAGATCTTACTTGCATCAGTGAGTATTAAAATATATTATCCTTTATTTTTAAGCACTGTATTTTACATAAAAGATAAAGAAATAAGTGAGAATATTTCAAATAATCAGTTCCAACCCACTGAAGTCTTTTAAATAACTTATATGTGTATATATAAATATCCAACCTTTTCAGTTACACTGAGGTGACTCCTTCTTGAAAATGACTTTTTCATAAACATTATGGTGTATAATTTGATATTCATCCATTCATTTTATATGCTTTTTCTTTAATATAGAGTAATATCATTGTCTTACAGAAAATCCAAAGACAGCTAAGATTTTTTTTGATTCTGTTATTGTATCATCACCTTTAGCTGAATAACTAACGCAAGATTTTTTTTAAAGAAATGTTTATAGGTTAAAACAAAATTATCATATCTTAACAACTTAATATTATCTTGCCCTTGTAATGGCTGAAGTTTTGTTATAATAATAAATAAAAAAACTGGTTTGTGGCTTCATATCTTATCAGTGTTTTATCTTGCTTGCACATAAAATTCTGATCATACATCAACACATGATTCCATGTGGTCTAAGTACATTTTCCTATATATCTGCACTCTACATGAAATCAGATAATAGCCATATAAACCATCCATTACACTAGGTTTCAGGGTTGATCATACATCAACACATGATTCCATGTGGTCTAAGTACATTTTCCTATATATCTGCACTCTACATGAAATCAGATAATAGCCATATAAACCATCCATGACACTAGGTTTCAGGGTTGATCATACATCAACACATGATTCCATGTGGTCTAAGTGCATTTTCCTATATATTTGCACTCTACATGAAATCAGATAATAGCCATATAAACCATCCATTACACTAGGTTTCAGGGTGACTAATCATTTTTGTTACAAGTACAAGCAAATTCTTATTTACTTTCTTTGTATACCACTGAAATGAGACAGCATTGCTTCCTATAAAGTCTATAATTTTTTTATGAACATCATCATATTGTGCCATTAACACTTGCCCGTGTGTTATACAGTTTTGAATGAACAGGTTTCTTCACTGATCTGTAAGTCATGAGGAGTATTAACAGCTTTAGTGTTAGCATTTTAAAAAATGCACATATCTATTTCAAGCAATAATTGTTTTGTTTTGTCATCACTTCTCTCTGCTGCCATTCCTCGTTAAAGTGGATGTATAGTCTGATGTAGGTGGGCTTCTGATAATAACTGACATCAAAACATCCGTGTTTGTTGAAAACATGTCAAGAAGAGGTAGAGCAGAGCACTGTTGGGGTTCACAGGTGAACTTAATGTTAACATGTTTAGATTTTAAACATTTTACACATTTCACTAATGTATCTTCATTTTCATTCATCATTTCATGAATGTCTCTGTCTGGATGGAATGAAGTGTTGTACACCATTACCATTTCTGGTGTTTGGTCTCCAGAGAAGTGGTCATTGCATATAAAATCCTCAAAATGTTGGAAGTACAATGGGTTTGTCATCATCTTTTTTTATATCTGCCTGAACATCTTATCATGATATATTCATACAACTTCACTGTAGTTTTTTACATCTGTTGAGAGGGAAGCACTCGCTCTTGGAACCTCTACTTTCTAGTTGTAGAGGTTCTCTTTTGGGCCCACAACCACAACATTTGGTTGTTGGCCTGCAATGGCCAGGATGTTAGTGATAAATTGGCTGTATTGTCTGGACCAGAATTCTTCCATCTGAATGTTTCTTACACCTTCTGGTGTTCCTCCTTTGGAAGTCTTTTTTTTTATGCCTTTGTGATTCCCCTCAACACCAAGCTTCCACTGAGTCAAGATTGGTCAAACCTCTTTTTGTATACCTATTCTCTTCATTGACTGCTCTCCAGACTGCTGTCTCTAATTTGCAGCACCCCTTGCCAGGTTCTTCTACTTTGCCACCAAAACTGTGATTTCCACTCTTTCACCTTTTGGCAATCCAAAAGCCTCTACATCTTCCATCTTTAAAGTCCCTCTTACATCAGCCTCAGGCATCCTTGTTTTATCACATGTTAAGCCTTCATCTCAACACATGGCCTTTGTATGTTCTTTTGAAACAAGTGCAGCAATTTCTGTCAGAGTAGCCCATTTTCTTGATCAGTGTTGTAGTCCATCCACCATTGCAGTTTATCAACCCAAATAGATAGTTTATTGATGTTTATTGTAGTCCATCCATCACTTCTTTCCTCTAAGTCATCTGACTTCCTAAAAGTGGTCTGTCTCTTTCTGCAATTGCTGGGTAGAGAGTGGCATTGTAGATGACCTTCTGTCCTTTCTCTGGCTATTCTCCTTTTTTTTTCTTTGGTTTTTACATGGTCTTTCTACTTATTCATCCTCTTCTTCCTGTTCCCCTGGTCTCACATGTCCTCTTTTCAAACCTTTGGCCACCAGTTCCCTTCATCATCTTTCTTTTAAGATGATTTTCTTCTTCTTTGGGTTGCAGAAGACATTGCTCAGATATTTTTGCATAAGACAGTTTTGATAAGGACATGATTTTATTTTCTGACCACTTGTTCCTTGCCCCCCAGTGGCTCATCGGTATGTCTGTGGACTTACAACACTAGTTCTGATACCCGTGGTGGTCAGAGCACATATAGCCTTTTGTGTAGCTTTATGCTTAACTACAAACAAACAAACTCGTTCCTTCCTAAGACTTGAGCTAAACAGGATTGTGATCAGATGCTTTCTCTAATGATCTTCTCTTCAGTTTCTTCTCTGTGTGATCATTCAGACCCCAATCATCTTTGTCCAGTGCATGCTGTATGATGTTACCTCACTTGCACAGCCCCCTTTAAAAGAAATTGAAATTGTCTGTCCTTACCTTGGGATCCCTTTACTTCTTGTCATTTATCTCCTTCCACTTTGGTTGGTTTCAGGAGTTCACCCAGCTTGCCTATTCCTCCATATGGAATGACAGTGTTTATATTTTTAGTATCACTTCACATCAAGTTTATCATTTCGTGGCTTCCCTTGCCTCTGGCCATCAATGTCCCATGTATAAAATCCTGCAGGTGGGAATGTGGATGACATCAAACAACTTTGTGTCACATTATGGTTTTATCATCCTCCAATCTTCCTGGAGGTTCTAAAGAGGTGAGTTGTTGGTATGGTGTAACAGAAAGCATTAAGCTCTTCTGCCCCTACACAGTTCCACTGTTGAGATGAGGTTTTCAGCAAGACTACTCTGTGTGTATATATATATATATATATATATTATTACTATTGCTTGTTTCTATTAACACATTCACTGCCATTGGTGGGTCACAGCTAAACAGTTATGTATCAGGGTCAAATTGTACAGGTGTCATACTCAATTTTCTTTTGGACATTTTTCTTTGGAATTTGTTTTACAAAATTATATCAAAGTAAAATATGAAAATAAAAGAAAACAGTTAATCATAAGGTGAATTCAAAAGGACTATGATGAATTAGTTGGACATGCCCACCAGTGTGTCACGTGACACACTGGTGGGACACATATTACAAGTGGCTTCAGTGAGCTAATCAATGGGTTAAGTATAAACAGAAAAGTGTAGTTGACACTAGGGTAGGAATTAGTATTACTACTGGTGGCAGCGAACATGTTAAAACTAACAGATCTCATGGTACAATATACTTTGATTAGCATATACAGGATATTCATATATATACAGTTTTTATTTATTTTTGTTTGTTCTGTAGGTTGGAGCATGTGTGGTGAACAAAGAAAAAAAGATTGTTGGTATCGGGTATAATGGTATGCCTAATGGTTGCAGTGATGATGATCTCCCGTGGAATCGAGAAGCTGATAATATTTTAGATACAAAGTATCCATATGGTAGGGTTGTTGTAGTTTTTTATTAAATGACTAGATTAGGGCCCAGCATGACCAGGTGGTTAGGGTGCTTGACTCGCAGTCTGAGGTTCGCTGGTTCAAATCCCCGTTCAGCCAAACATGCTCACCTTTTCGGCCATGGGGGCGTTATAATGTGACAGTCAGTCCCACTATTTGTTGGTAAAAGAGTAACCCAAGAGTTGGCGATGGGTGGTGATGACTATCTGCCTTCCCTCTAGTCTTTCACTGCTAAATTAGAGACAGGCTAGCGCAGATAGCCCTCGTGTAACTTTGCGTGAAATTCAAAACAAGTTAGCAAACAAAGGACTATATTACACTGAAAGAAGGTATGGATCCTTTACTTTTGTTATGAGTTAGAACAATGATGCCGTATCAAAGATTTTCCTTCTTAGCTAATAATGGGTAAGGTTAAAAAAATCACTTGCACTTGCAATAGGAGGAGTTATTATTCATTTGCTTAAGTTTTTTGTTTAGCTGTAATGGTTTCTTTTAAGATTTAAGCATTAGTTAGGTAAGGTCTGGATGACATGCACTACAATTACAGTGAAGTCTAAATTTCTTAAAAGTACTGTAACAGAGTTAATAATTGGATACAGAAAAAAGAACTATTAAATTAATGAATTAAAACAGATTTATAAAGTTTTATTTCTCATGATTCTTAAATGTAAAATTTAAATATGTATCTATGTTTTGTAATTTTTCGGGTTTGCATTTGGGTATTTACACTTCCTGTACAGTTTTAAAAATCATTGCTACAAACAATTCTTTCTGTGTAGGTTAATTTCTGTACATTTAATCGACATCCAGATGATATGTGATGAAACTTGTCCCCCTTTGATTCTGTTTACCAGTATTCATCTTAAATTTAAAGAGAAGATAGGAGAAATGACTTTTTTCACTGTAATGTTTTCTTGTATTGAAATGAGTTAACAATTTGTTGATATATCTTCTGACATGGTCAGAGTCGTATAGCTGCATCTTTCAGACCAAAAGCTGAATTTGGCCAAAATTATTATTTCAGTTTTATACTATAAATTGATCAGTTAGTGTTAAGTATTTCATGAAAAAAAAACATTTATTGTGAACCAAAATAACTAGTTAACAAAAGAAACACTTAGGACATGTTATTTAGAAACATCCCTCAACACACAGTTCCAACATGCCGTATATTCAGAATAATCATAAGGTCAAACCTTTTGTTATTAGAGCTGAGTGATTTTGATTAGTGTCATGTAAAATAATCAATTAATTGAAATCAACTAATTTTTGTTTCTTATTACCCAAGTTATTCTAATATTGACAATATTATTTCTCATCATTTTTGATTAATTCAAGGCTGTTAAGCTTAGCCCTATGCATATGGCTAGGTCAGTCACAACCTTCTACAGAGTTGCATTAACTTTATCATCAGTGTACCTCAATAAAATTAGCATCAAAATGTAGCTTATTATTCAAATTTTTATTCTCTAAGCTTTGACTTTTAATTTCAGTGGGAAATATTTTTACTTCTCTGTGTCACATGACATGTCTGTACTCTGAATTCTCCATATTAAATTTTATATTACTAGTAATATGGCTTTCAGTGTGTCCAACCAATTAGAAATACAAACTATACATAATTAGAAGCAAGAATGTAAAATTTGAACCTCTTAGCTGCTCAGTTTGCTGAGATATCAATACGTTTGTCAAACCCACCAGAGAAGCCCCTCCCATCTGTCCTATCTTTCAATACAGTTATATAAATAACCTCTACATTGCTGATGGACATGTTTATAACCAATAAAAAAAGTAGATTTTCCCCTACATTAATCCTATCACAATTGTTTCCTTTTGTCAGGCATACATAAACAATTGGTCTTAGATTCTTTGTATGTAATTGTTTTTATTTATTTTGAGCGGCTAACAGAATTTTGTTAACATATTTATAGCTTACTTTGAAAGCAACACAAATTATAGTAGTTTTGGGACATTCTTCTAGTGAGTGATATATGTTCTAATATCCAAATTTGAAGGCTGATTGAATTCTTGTTTCCAGATACCCAAAATTTGAGGTTTACCAAAAAATGGCTACTCAAGTTCAAAAAACTGTCTCAGAACCTATTTTCGTTCAATTTGTCTTGTTTTTTTTTTGTTAAAGTAAATTTCAAATTACTCTTTGTTTCATAAAATGAGCTTTTCTGAAAACATATTTTTCATCATTTTATTTTTAATATTTTACCACAACTTTTTTTTAAAACAATTTGAACAATTCCTACTTTGCAAATGAATCAATAATGTTGGCTAAACTCCACCACATGGTCAGCATTATCTTTGTTTTTAAAATGTACAGTAATCTGTTATTGATTTTCTGTAAATCAAATAAATTGGTAATTAAATATTTTACTATCACTGATTAAGGCATGGTATTTTAAGTTAAAACTGATTTTCCAACACATGTGAGATAGGTTATTCCATGATAATTGTAGAGTTTACCCTATGAAGATATTTGTGATCAAGATAGTTTGACTGAGTTTTTCTCTTTTGGGTGAAAAAATAGTAAGTCTGGACATTTAGGAAAGAATGTACCAAAATCTTTATTTTAATTAAAGCATAAAGACACAGTGCACATATTCACAAGGAATGAGGTGACAGTTCTTTAGTGAGTGGTTAGTCTCATAGACCTCCTTCTCACAAGATATAACACTTACAATACTAAACATGAAATCTTCCATTGTAAGAATAACTCTTCTATGTAGCTAGGATACTAGTTTCAGAATGCTAACCTGCTTTCTTTGTCCAGTGGACATTGTCACCTTGTAGCTTCTGTTCCCTGATAGTATTGATTAGCTATCAGTTTTGTTTGATGTCATAATTATCCAGCATAGGATATTTCAGTTTCAATTTGTGTAACTCTGGCTCAAGAAGCAGTACTGAAAGATCCTTGTGGCCAGAAGACATCACCTACAAAAATAATAAAGGGGTGAAGTAACTGGAACAAGATAATATTAGCAGTCCTAAACCACATGTTGCTGCCACAAAAGTGAGGAAGCTAAATAATAATTTGGAAAAAAAATTCCATGTTACTATAGATGGTAGATCACATGATATGCCCATATACCATAAATGCAATTACAAATAATTAAGCAGCTAATTAGCTAATTTATTTATGAATAGAAGAAACATAAAGATAATGTTCAATAAAAATTTGAGTTATCAAAATATTTACATTTGCCTATCTTACTCACTAAACAATAAACTTAAGTAGACTTATGTAATATGATGATTTGATTTGATTTGATGAACATAATGGAAAAGAATGTGTTTACAAACATTCCAACTCATCTAATGTCTTCTCATTGAAGAAAATTTCTGCAGTTTTCAAACACGTATAATTTAACATACAAATACTTTCTCAATTCAAAAATAAAAGGAATATTTACAGAAAATATAGAAAAATCTTGAACTAGTTTATTTACTATTAAGTGATAGTCTAATTCTTGCTTTATCCAATTGCATTTAAACTTTCATTATAGCTGTTTTCAAAGTTGTGTCTCATTAGCAAATGATCAAATCATTTGATGTAGCACCATAACAAAGTTTCAACCAAGGCCTGAACAAAAACTTAGGGAAGTGCTTGAAAATCAAGAACTAGATAACATATTCTCAAGTGATGGTAGATATTAACCAGAATAAAAATAATTATTGGATAGACATAATAATTGTACAACAAAATTTATAAGTGGATTATTTTATTACAGGAAAGCTCTTTATAGCTGCACAGAAATGAAAATAGGAGCTTTTTTTTTCTTCATATGTGTGTGTGTGTGTACTATTTATACTGTTGTCTTGTCTACTTTCATTCTGCCTGATGGTGTCTCAAAAACTTGTGGTCAAGATATATCAAAATATCTTTTTTTTTTCAATATTAAATAATTGTAGTTTAAAAGTCATGCTGGTTTGAATCTCTGTTCCATCAAACATGCTCATCCTTTCAGTCTTGGGGCATTATAATGTGATGCTCAATCCCACTTTGTTGGCGGTGGGTGGTGATAACTGGCTGCCTTCCTTCTAGTCTTTCACTGCTAAATTAGGGACAGCTAGTGCAGAAAGCCCTCGTGTAGCTTTATAGGAAATTCAAAACAAATTTAAGAGCTATATCACTTTTCATTAACAAATTCCACAAGATATACGAGTAAACTAATCAATAACACAGGCCTGCAATGGTTTTATTGTCTGGAAATCTTTACATGTTTTACAGTAATTCCTGTACGCTGAATTCAAAAATGATATCCATTTTTCTCCATCACAAACAGATTTTTCACAAAACGGCATATGTACTTTTACATAAGTGAATCATTTTCATTGAAATCGGGTCACATTTTGTTATGCTTCAAATGTTGACAACCACTGGCTTATCAGTTGTTCTAGAACCCACGAGAAACACACCATTACTATATAAAAGGTTAACAGGCCACATGATGTATAATTTCTGGATAGTATATGTTTGTGCTTGCACTTTGACATTATTTTTTCTTTTCAATATTATTTATTCATTGCTATGACAGCAAGAGGTTGTGTAAATGACCCAAACATATTCTGTTATATTTGTTGTAAACTTGATATAAGTAAGTATTTTTTTCTTCCCGATTTGTAAAAAATCCTTACGTGGTAGAAAAAAATCAATATTATTTTTGAAATCTGTGTATATGAACTTTAAGTTTGCAGGCCTTAAGGAGACTTCTGTGTTGATTTCAGAAAACCTCAAAGTTTTTATGATAATTAATAGCCCAATCAAACTAAATTATTTATAACTTTGCATTATTTATTGTATTGTAAAATTTAATTTTGAAGTAAGGAAACTATTTAAAAGGTTTGATTGATTTATTGTCTGGTGTTTGCATAAAGTGAAGACATAATAATGTCATTTTAGTTTTACAAATTAATAGAGGCTAATTATCAGAAGTTTATATTTTTCAGTTTGCCATGCAGAAATGAATGCAATATTGAACAAGAATTCTGCAGACCTGAAGGATTGCACAATATATGTTGCACTCTTCCCCTGTAATGAATGTGCCAAACTAATAATTCAGTCTGGTATAAAAGAAATAGTGTATCTTTCTGACAAATACCATAACGACTATAAGATGGTGGCATCTAGGCAACTTTTAGATATGGCTGGAGTTAAATACAGGTAAGAAAGATATCTATGATAATGAAGTTTTTAGTATCATAGTGGGTTCTGACCATATGTGGACAGATTAAGAGGAATGTGGGAAGAACAAGAACCTGTAGTTAACTGAATTTTTATAACAATTGTTTGCCCTTTTGGTTTCCAATTAAAGTGTTATACTGCATATACAAATTGCACTACATAGTCTTTCAGGTTTAGTCATTCAGCCCAACTGATGAGATCTGGTATAAAACAAAACGTTTTTGGGCAGTGACTTGTGGGGGACAAAGATAAATATGAAATGCTATTTTTACACACCTATGACTTTGAGCCACAATTTGATTTCTTTAAGAGTAGTTTTTTGAAAATTGCTAAAACAAACCATCCATCAGATGCATCAAATCAATGACCCAAGAATTGTAGAGTCAAATATATGTATATATACTTGTTATGTGTGTGTGTCTATAGTTTTAGACTTTGATAACCTAATTTTCTCTTATCCATAAATCATATTAGGGGCCTCACATATATTATAGTGATATCTTTGGAATATTTAATATTCATTTATCATGTTTATTGCCTACGGTATTAATCACTTAAGTTTCATGTACTTAAAATTATGAAATCCAAGTCTCTAAATCTCTGTTTATGTATATTTTATGCACTTCCACATAAGTATGTATGCAGTTTTTTGAAAGCTACTTTTACAGTAAATGGAAAGAAATAAACATATAAAGTATATTTGTTGTAATTTATTCTGTATCTTCTTTATACTAGCATGGTGTGTCCCTCAGCCAGCCAGAGATAATTTTATGTACTTAAAACACTAAAACCCTGCATTCGATTTCTCGTGGTGTATAGAGAGCAGAAAGCCTATTGTGTAACTTTCTCACTAATACAAACAAACAAGCACAGTTTAAGAACTTTACGTAGAATTCTGTTTGGTTTTATTTTTCTTAAAGTATCACATAATTGATATATATTTGTATATAGCATTATTATTGTAGTGTGTAGTGTTGCAAGAAGTTTCTGTATACATACTTTTATGTAGTCCAAATTATAACTATGATCATGGTCTATGGCAATGATATGAGTGCCTAATCTTTTCTTGTGTTCTTCCTTTGAAATGCTAAAACATTGCACCTAAAATGTTTTTATTATCATAAAATAGGCAAACTTCACATGTAGAAGTTTGGGAATGTAACTGAATCTGAAGGAAACAATTTTAAGTGCCATCTGTACACTCTACAGTCCCAACACTACAACTGGATTGCAATGAAAGGGTTGGGACTTTTAATCTTTGTAGGCACAACCTATGGGGATGAGCAGGGCAAGGTGATTGGGTATGCATATTGTTGTCACACATCATAAACAACCCTCTGTTAGTGATGCTAGAAGCATCAGTTAATTTATAAAACTACTTCAGAAAAGTTCTGTAATTAGTATTGGTGATGCTTAATATTCAAAAGTTTGTTGAAATTCAAAATGCATTGTGTATCAACATAATGTAGTGTCTTATCATGCAAACTGTTGAGTTTCTCTAAAAATTTACAAAATGTTTGTATCAGTTCTATTGTGCAACTGATCGTAGGTTAATGTTAAATTTGAATCAGCATTATCCGACTTAAATAGTTATGATGTTTTAGTGAACAGATTTTTTGGTCGTTTAGTTTCTTAATATTTCAAGTTTGTAATCCTGTTGATGTTTTTAATGGGTGTTTTTACACATATTTAAGGCTGACATTGCCATATTTTTTCAAACATATGTTAAACTAACTGAAATATCAGTGAATAATTTCAAAACCACAGTGAAATTTAACAGATAGCTGTTTCAGTTGTGTATTGTAAGTAATATGTGTTTCTCGTGTTGCATTAACAAGCTAAGAAATGTTACATACGTGATTCCAATGTTAGAAAATTTTGGTAAACAATTAGAATATTTATAGTCTTGAGTTTATTACTGCGTGCTGTAAATCTTATGTTTTATTTCCATAAAATAGTTCATATGAAACAATAATATATTAAATTTATTGTTCCAGAGTACTTTGGTGCTCTTTGAGAAATGTTATTTTGATTGGTGTGCTGTATATATTGTATATCTTTATAGATTTTCTATAGATGTTCTATAGAAAGACGAAGTGTTGTTCTTGTCCATATAACTATTAACCCATATAGAACTTCTGAACCTTCTTCAAATTTACTTGGTATAATATCGGCAACTCTTAAAAATCCAGAGAAAGAGAGAAGAAATATGTGATACAGTCAATATTTGAATTTTATTTTGGAAGTGATTTTCAAAGAATCAAGTTAAACATTATCAGGAGTAGCTGATTTACAAAGCTTTTTATTGTCAGGATTGCATACTTGGAACATGCACACGTGGTAAATTGAACTTGTTTTTGTTTCTGATAGTAACATGATACTCTTTGTCTATGCAGCACATACAAATGTGCTTGTGTTTGTGGGTTTTTAATAATGCAGTGTGTTTATGTGATACTTTCTCTTGCTTGATACTAAACATGTTGTACGTGTAGCTAGTATCGTTTACTTGGCTGTAAATTGCACTAAGCCCTACCTACTGCAGAAAACAATGTGTGTGTGTAAGACTTAATTTTAACCCAACATATTACATTTTCATTGACAGAAGAACTGAATAAAAAGGGTTTCTTTGTGTATTTTATTAATATTGAATAATGTCTCATTTATAAATTGTAATGAAATATTTTTCATAGGCAACACATTCCTCAACATTCACAGATTCTTATCGATTTTGATTCAATAAACATACCCGTTGGAAAGCATCACAAGGAACCAAAATCTGTATCATCTCCGTAACATAGGTAATAATTACAGACTCTCCCATATTTTTTGTTTGATTAGTTTTATTTGGTTTAAGTTTTTATTGTTAAATGTAAAACATTTAAATATTTGTAAAAAAGAGGTTTTTAATTTCAGTGTTTGAAAACAATCAAAAAATTTATCTTTAACTATAGAAGTATAATATAAAGTTTTTACTGTTTTATTTTGTAAAATAAAGTAATATTTATGTTAAGAGAAACCATATGACTTCAGATAAAAAAAATAATTCATGTATGCTTTATAATAGTTACTTTTTGAAGAGATAATGTTTTGTTTCTTTTCAAAACATTTTTTGTAAGTTACAAAAAAAATGGTCTTTCCCGTGATGATTTGTGATTTTGTGGAGAAGTGGCATTGTAAATTTATTGTTAGCTTCTTTAATTAATTGTTTGTGAAGTAAACTTAACATTGTCATTAGCCTCACAATAATATGATCATTAAGACATTGTGTAAACTAAAGAAACGCAAAAACAAAAGATATGCTCAAAGAACACATACTTAATTCTATGGGCTAAAATATTGTAATTATCAAAATCAGAACTTGCCTATTTTTAAAGTTTGTTGTTATTGTATTTTTGAATTAATAACTGTATTATTTAACAACTTTTTAGGCTTATAAAATCACCACTCATGTTTGTATTAAGTAATTTATTTGGACTGTCACAACATTATTTTAGTAAATTTGTTTTAATGTGTTAAAAACTAAACAAACAAACTGAAATTATGTATGATAATTGAAATAAATTACTTAATACATATATTATTTAATGTTGTGTAAGTAGGTATGGATCTAGGGAGGTTCAGAGGGTCTGGACCCCCCATCTCTATTCTTTTCAGGAATTAAAACTGCATTATTTAATGTTTTATAAACAGCTGTGGATCAAGAGGAGGCCATCTGAACTCCCACCCACTCCACCTTTTTTTCTTTCAGAAATTAATAATTGTATTATTTAATGTTGTATAAGTAGGTGCAAGTTTTGGGTAATCTTAATCTCTCTTTTTTTTCTGAAATTAATTTTTAAACATGATGAAACATCCTTACACTACTATGTAGTATAAAAAGAAACATTCATTAGATCACAATATTTTTATTTGATTGGTCTATTAATTACCATAAAAGGTTTTCTTAAATCAACACAGTTGGAATCTACAGCAATCAGTTAAGGCTTTGGCCAATAACCGATTATTTCTAAGTAAATACAACAATAACAACATCAGTGAAAAGCTGCCATTTTAAATTTTTGTGCCTTGGCTTTTTTTCAGACATTCTGACAATGTGTGTACGATTTAGAGATTTGATATATCCGTCAAAATTGGTATTAGTTTAGAACACCTGCAGCTATTATAACATGAATTTGTTACAGAATTACTTTTTCATTGTGTGTAAGTTATAATACTTGCAAGAACTTTAACTGTATAAGTAATGAGTTTAAAAAAAAATTGAAAACAGGCCTTCTATTTATAAATGTTAAAATATGAATTTATGTGCACTTTATAATTATTTTTCTAAATGTAATTATAACTATTTTATTTTCTTACAAATCACATTACTAGAAATAAAAACAGTATGAAATTGCTGGATAATAACTCGAATGAGCTACTTTAAAGTGAGTTTTATAGGTGTTCTGATTAATTTTATTACTTACGTTACTAGTAGTGTATAGTTATTAGTAAGTCAACCAGGGAAGTAATGCAAACTTATTGGTAGTGCCAGTAGAGGTCTAGTTGTGCTCAACATCCTGACTTTGTCTTTGTTCTGAGTAATAATTTCTGAAAGCATGGATCTGTAACAATGTTTAACATAAGTACTCC